ACCAGCCACGCATTTTTTGGGATGAGGGACAACGCGACATTAGTTGAATCTGCTCGAGGTACAGTCGATGCTCAGCCTATCACAAAAATTTGCTTATCACTATTAGAAAATTAGTCACTCGCGAACGTTTTCCCTGTGAGTGGTGATTGTGCTGATTTCGGGTACAGTCACCAAGTTGCGGAAGAAAAACATCTACAGTTCATAAACAACAGCGATTGCCCGTCATCAGAATTGTTTACCTGGTTACGAACTTAAACCCCCGGACTCGTTTCAAATTCCAATTTCATTTTACAATCACAATTTTGCCCGTGGCGACAAGGGCGAACATGACGAAATGCCCCAAACTCGTTTCACGCACATGCCGCCCGCCTACCTGGTGTTCTTGAAATGAGCACCGACTGTAATCGCCCGCCGGCTTCCGCGCTGATTTGGTACCACGACATCTGAGCTGATACGATACTCGACAATGTAGAATATGGTTACAGAAAAGTGACGAGAAAGTCGCTTCACCAGACACTGAACTGTGACATTCTGTGTGACATTATGTCACATTTACGTGACATTTCCGTGACAACGCAGGGAACATCGTGGCCGGTACTTTCAACCATGACTAAAAAACGCCGGACTTGCTGTCACGTTAAAGCCCGATTTCCACATGGCATTTTTCAAATTCAAGATTCTTGAATATGAACTCGCCAAAAACCAGGTTACCACCCAAAGTGCAGCTTTCCTTCACGGCTCTGATGCATGATTGGCCAGCGACAAAAAAAAGTATTCCGCGTGAAGTGTCAACGGGAGTTGGTCCACTGTTCACCCTCAGTAAACTTGAAAACCAAGTTGTACTTACGTGCAGCCATATTGAGTCTAGCACACGTAGTGCGCTCCGCTTTTCTAGACCACAAGAGCGCGTAATATCGCTTCTAGACAATGGCAGCGAGATGTCTAGAACATTGCAGCAGTCTGACGGTTTTCCCCTCCAACGAAATTATGCGTAGCCAGCATAAAGAAAAACGTCATGCGTCACGCCCAAATCTACAGGGTCGATGGAGCTCGCATGTTACGTTCGAAGCGCACGGATCAAGCGCACGGATCGGGCGCTAGCCTCACATGTACGTTCGACGCACCCGTCGCACTCTCTTACGCCCATCAAACTCCCTCACGCCGTCGCCCTACTGCCCGTCGCTCTCCCTAGCGCTCGTCGCACTCACTTCCGCCGTCGCCCTCCCTTCCGCCCGTCACCTTCCCTTCCGCCCGTCGCACTCAATTCCGCCGTCGCCATCACTTCCGCCGTCGCCATCCCTTCCGCCCGTCACCCTCACTTCCGCCGTCGCCCTCCCTTCCGCCCGTCACCCTCCGTTCCGCCCGTCGCACTCACTTCCGCCGTCGCCCTCCCTTCCGCCCGTCACCCTCCCTTCCGCCGTCGCCATCCCTTCCGCCCGTCACCCTCCCTTCCGCCGTCGCCATCCCTTCCGCCCGTCACCCTCCCTTCCGCCGTCGCCATCCCTTCCGCCCGTCACCCTCCCTTCCGCCGTCGCCATCCCTTCCGCCCGTCACCCTCCCTTCCGCCGTCGCCATCCCTTCCGCCCGTCACCCTCCCTTCCGCCGTCGCCATCCCTTCCGCCCGTCACCCTCCCGTCCGCCGTCGCCATGCCTTCCGCCCGTCACCCTCCCTTCCGCCGTCGCCATCCCTTCCGCCCGTCACCCTCCCTTCCGCCGTCGCCATCCCTTCCGCCCGTCACCCTCCCTTCCGCCGTCGCCATCCCTTCCGCCCGTCACCCTCCCTTCCGCCGTCGCCATCCCTTCCGCCCGTCACCCTCCCTTCCGCCGTCGCCATCCCTTCCGCCCGTCACCCTCCCTTCCGCCGTCGCCATCCCTTCCGCCCGTCACCCTCCCTTCCATCCCTCCCTTATCGCCGTGACGAGGGGAGGCTCCCCGAAACGAGGGGGCGTCACGATGGGACAGGGGGCGCGGCGATAAGAGACACAACTACGGGAGGCGAGGCACCAAATTATTGTGTATGCGCGGGTGAAGTACCTAGAATCTGCGTATTGTACTATGCTACGATGCGCTGTCGGGATCCTTTCTGGCTAGTACTAACACAATACTGGTGAGGTTGGCTACTCGTTTGGTTGGTTGGTTGGGTTGGTTTGTCGCACACTCATACCGATATTGAGTGACGAATTCCCGAACCCCCTCGCAGCCAGATCTCGCTTTCGCCCCGGCCATATTCCCGAAATGAACTTTTTTGCCTTTCGCCAAAACGTTTAAAGCCCTTCAGAAAATTTACCAAAAACCATGCTGACCTCGGGCTTTAAAGTCACATTTCGAACACATTTTTGTGACTTTCGGCACTTGCCATTTTCGCGATGTCGAGCCTCACTAGTTGCAAAACAGGCGACCGCCTCCTGATAGATCTGGTACGTGGCCTCCCAGTGCACGTCACACTACTACATCGCGGTAGAACTGTCGCAAGACACCCAACCGCCGGAGTCCTTCCACCCCACGCGCAGCCAGTCGTCTTGTTTTCAACACCCCACTCATTCCCTAATAATTCTCTCTAGGGACGCCGAGCATTGTAAGCTACTACTTTCTCCTTGCGATCGTCGCTATCCTCGTGACGCCTTTCAATGCCAGGTTCTCTAGTGTTAGCACCTCTTCCGGTCGTGGCAGTAGGAACGGAGTAGAACGGCAGTTTACGCGTGCAGTGCTCCGATCCATGTCCTCCCCTAGCGGCAGTCGCTGAGACGCGTCTGCGCGCCGCGACGGCGCCCATGTGCGAGTCTCGCCGCCATGCTCCTCGCCGCCGCGCCGCTCTACTCCGCCCGCCGCTGCCGTCAGTCCTCGGATCGATTGCCCAGGTAGGGAGGGGGCGGAAGGGGGTGTGCGCGCGATCGCCTTTAGTGTAGGTAGCAGGGGGAGAAGCAGGCGGAAGGGCCGCAGGAAGCGCGGGAGGAGTGTTTGCATGTGGGTTGAGCGTGCAGAGGGGGACGAGGTTGTTAGAAACGAGACTGCGTAGGGTCCGCAGCATGGCGCGTGTGCTCACGCTCGTGCATTGGTGGGTGAAATAAAACACACCCATTATTCACATGCATGCGATCTCATCGCCTCCTCGTCTTCCCCGTGCTCACCACATCCCATATTCACGATCCCTGTGCTCACCACATCCCATATTCACGATCCCTGTGCTCACCACATCCCATATTCACGATCCCTGTGCTCACCACATCCCATATTCACGATCCCTGTGCTCACCACATCCCATATTCACGATCCCTGTGCTCACCACATCCCATATTCACGATCCCTGTGCTCACCACATCCCATATTCACGATCCCTGTGCTCACCACATCCCATATTCACGATCCCTGTGCTCACCACATCCCATATTCACGATCCCTGTGCTCACCACATCCCATATTCACGATCCCTGTGCTCACCACATCCCATATTCACGATCCCTGTGCTCACCACATCCCATATTCACGATCCCTGTGCTCACCACATCCCATATTCACGATCCCTGTGCTCACCACATCCCATATTCACGATCCCTGTGCTCACCACATCCCATATTCACGATCCCTGTGCTCACCACATCCCATATTCACGATCCCTGTGCTCACCACATCCCATATTCACGATCCCTGTGCTCACCACATCCCATATTCACGATCCCTGTGCTCACCACATCCCATATTCACGATCCCTGTGCTCACCACATCCCATATTCACGATCCCTGTGCTCATTCTTTCTCCCATTCCCCTCCCATCCCCCTCTCTGACGCTTCTGCAGCGCGCTCCTCCCCTCGCCTTGCGCGCACGCGCTTGACGCAGCTGCCCTCCGCCCTTCCCTCCTGCTCCTTCCGCAATTCGCTCCGCCCCCGCCCCACACCCACAACCACCAACACATTCACACCCTCACGCACACCAAACGGATCCTCCACATTCCCGCTTCCCGCTTTTCTCTCCGCTTATCATCTTTGCTACAACCACCATCAACACAATCACGAGTCGTACAGTTACTCCCTGCAGCCCTCCTTCTCACACCACTCCCTCTGTCACATGTGCCCCTGTGTTCTGAGGAACCTCCTTGAAAAGACCCCCCATGCCCACACACACATGCTTCCCCACATTGCCCTCCCCCTTTCCCTCATCGTCTCCACCACCGTCTCCCCTTTCCTGCCGCCCGCAATGAGGAGCTGCCACGTGTCAGTTTTCCATTGGCAAGGAGTGGAGTGGAGTGGGGGGGTTGTGGGAGGAACACCGGAGGAGGAGGAGGTGGGGGGGTTGGGGGAGAGGATGGGGGGAGGAAATGAAGAGGTGCGTGGGGAGAGGTGCAGTGGCAGCAAGAGAAGGAGGCGGAGGAGGGGAATTGGCCTGCGAATGGATCAAGGCAAGGCGGTTACATGGCAGTAGTGCAGTGATGGGGGAGAGCGTAGTGGCGAGAAGGGAGGGGGAGGTGGAGCAAAAGGGTGGGGAGGTGGAGAGGAGGGATGGGGAGGCTGGGAGAAGGGTGGCCGAGGTGGAGGGAAGAGAGGTGGGGGAGGAGATACCGGAAGGGAGCAGAGAGGGCGGAGGGTGCACATGGAGAATGGGAAGGATGGGAGGAATGGGAGGTGGCAGTGATCTGCGGAAGGGTTCAGACGGGGAAGGCGAGGGGCAGGAGGGGCGGGCGGGGCAGGCTTGGCAGGCGGGATTTACAAAGACAGAGGGAGTTCACGAGGGCGAGGAGGAGGAGAGCGCAGGGTACAATGCAGGTGAACAATGGAGGGTAGGGAGGGGGGGAAAGGAGGGAGGGAGAGGAAAGAGGAGGGAGGGTTCAGCTGTATCACATAATCACCGTTGCCCCCCTTCTCTTCCAAATCGCCGCATCACAATATTGTCCTCATGAACAAACACATTCCGCCATGTCCAAGCTCTTGTCAGCTCACCCTTGCCAGCCAAATCCCCTCCTCCTTTCCCCCCCACTGCCCCGCCCCACTTGATGTTTCACGAGCAGCAGAGGCTTTGGAGAGTGTGTGGTCGGCAGTGCAGCATGTGGCAGAGGGCAGTGCACGTGTGCTGCCCGCCGTGCTCTCCTGGCACGCCCACCACCATGCAGACGGGCACGGCGGTCGGCCGCTGTCCAAAGAACTGCTGCTGGCTTTGATTGGGCGGCTCAAGGAGCGGCTTCGGCTCGTCCATGCGTTTGAGGTGCGATGTGCCAGGGTGCTGTGGGGTACTGTGGGGTGCTGGAGGGTGATAAAGGGTACTGAGGAATCCTGGAGGGTTGTTGTGGGGTGCGAAGAGCCAGGTAGAGGGGAGGAGGAAGAGCGGGTTTCAGCCAAGCCTCCTTGCTCTCCCTTTCTCCAATGTTCTGCCCCCTGTTGCACACATACTTGCTTGCACACACACACACACACACACGCACACACACACACACGCACACACACACACGCACACACACACACACACACACACACACACACACATACACACACATACACACACACACACACACCCATGCACCCGCACACATACACACATTCATTCATGCTCATGCACACACACACACACACGTATGCACACACACACACGCACGTATGCACACGCATGCACACACACACACACACACACACGCGCGCGCGCGCGCGCGCACACACACATGCGCGCATTACCTCTGCATCTTCCCACCTTCCTTTTCTCCCACAGGTGACACAGCACTTGGTGCACAGCCCGCACAACTGGTTGGGCAAGGCAAGGTGTGATGTAGGTCAGAAAACAACCCCCTTTGTCAACTCCCTCTATCATCCAACCCCTCATCCCCCCATCCCCACTTCCCCCAAGCCTGCCTTCCCCCCTTCCCTCCATCCGCCTCACCCCACCAGGTGGCAGAGCACGTGGTGCGCAGCCCGCACAGCTGGCTGGTCGAGGTGTGGTGCTCACTCAAAACCCACTCCTTGACACCCTTCCCCCATCCTCCATCCCCCCAGGTGGCGCAGCACGTGGTGCGCAGCCCGCACTACTGGCTGGGCAAGCACGACTGGAGGTTGCTGCTGGATGTTTGCGTGCGGGCAGGCCGCATCACCCGGGCAGAAGAATTGTTTACGCTGCTGCCCAGACACCTGCAAAGGGAGGAGGTAATTGGTGTGTGCGTCTGGTGTCTTCTAGAAACAAGCAACCCAGTCATGCCATGCCATGTGAATTGGACCTGTCTCCACAATCGATACTATCTGTGCCATCTGCTCTGCACAATCCGAACACTGTTCAATACATGCCCTCCCCGTCCCCCTCCCTCTCCCCCTCCTCTCTCTCCCCCCTCTCTCCCCCAGGTATACATGGGCATTCTGCGCAACTATGCGCGGCGGGGTCTGGTCCTTCTGTTGGAATCGCCTCAAGCCCATTGGTCCCATCCTCTCTTTCTTCTCCCCCCATCCCCGTTCCCTCCTCTCTTCCTCTCTCCCCCCAAGGTATACACTGGCATTCTGCACAACTATGCGAGGCGGGGATTAGTGCGGCGGGTGGAGTCGTGTATGGTGATGCTGCGGGCGCTGGGCATGCGGGAGAGCGCGCTGGGGTTTGAGGCGCACATGCTGGCGTATGGCGTGCGAGGCTTGTTGCGGGACGTGGAGCGCATTGCACAGGAGATGGCAAGCAAGGTGGGGGAAGGGTAGGGGGGTGGAGGGAGGAAAGTTGAGGGAGGGAGGTGAAGTCGGGGGAAAGGGGAGGTGTGGTAGGGGCAAGGGTTAGCATAGGGAGGGGTGGGGTAGGGGCAAGGGTTAGCATAGGGAGGGGTGGGGTAGGGGCAAGGGTTTGCATAGGGAGGGGTGGGTTAGGGGCAAGGGTTAGCATAGGGAGGGGTGGGGTAGGGGGAATGGCGGAGGGGAGTGTTGGAGAGGTGGGAATGGTGATGCGGGGAGGCGAAGAGAGGAGACGTGACTGGATGGATGGGCATAACATGTGGGTGGAGCAATTGGGATGATGCTTACCGGTCATCACCCACCACCGCTCTCTCCCTTTCGCCCATCCCCCAGTCCATCCCATCGTTCTCCTTCCTTCACTCAACCGCCCTCTCCCCCTCTCCCCACTTTCCCCCACTCCCCTCGGGCATCCCCCCATCCCCAACGGCCTACGAGCATCTCATGCAGGCCACGTGAAAGAATGAGTGTTTGAGTCGTCTCAAAACACTCCCTCTCCACCCCCCACTTTCCACCACCCCTCCAGGGCATCCTCCCCACGCCAACGGCCCACGAGCATCTCATGCAGGCCTATGCCCTACGCCACCACCTCCCATCCATCCGCTCCCTCCTGCACCGCCTCTCCCACTCGCCCCACCCCCCCCCCCTCCCCACGCTCACCGCGGCCGCCTGGGCGTTCTTCTCCATGGGGCGCGTGGGGGAGGCGGAGGGGGTGGTGGGGGAGATGCGGAAGCTGTATGCGGGGAAGGGGGAGGAGATGCCGGTTCCGGTGCTGGTGGGGCTGGCGTGGGCGTATGCGAGGATAGGGGATGTGCGGCGGATGGAAGAGGTGGTGGGGGAGGTGGAAGGAGTCAGGGCACATGAGCTCAGGTGAGACTTTGAGAGGCGTGGTGGGAGAATTGGGGGGAGGGGGGCACATGATCTCAGGGCACATGATCTCAGGGCACATGATCTCAGGGCACATGATCTCAGGGCACATGATCTCAGGTGAGGCTCTGACAGATTTGGAAAGAGAATTGGGGGGGAGTGGGGGGTGGCGTGGTGGGGATGTTGGAGATGGGTGAGGTTGGGGTGATGGGGAGTGTGGGTTGATTAGGAGGGGGTTGAGTAGAGCTGCCTATGGGCTGAGTGCCGTGAGGGGGCAACCCTGACCCGATCCATGAGGGGCAGTGAGGGGGAGTATGGGGTGCTTGGTTGAGAGATGAGTTCATCTGCTATGCCAGCCCATGTATTGGGTGGTTGAGTGCTTTGGTGAGTCTTGTGTTCGGCATCCCCATACATGCTCCACGTTGTTCCTCCCTTGAGAATGTTTTCCCATCCCTCTTCGCCTCTCTTCACGCCCCTCTTCAGCCCTCTCTTCCGTGATTTCACCCCTCTGCACCCCTTCCTCTGTATATTTCTGTCCCATGCAGGATACTGCACATGGCTCGAATCTACTGCTATGCTGTTGCTGGCCGAGTGGAAGAGGCTGAAAAGGTTCCGCCTATCCTCCCTTTTCCCTACCTTTCCTCTTCTTTATCCTGCCGGTGTCATGCCTCTCACAAACCTGCCACTTTCCCCGCTCTTGTGCTTCTTCCCGACTGGAGTTTGTTCATTCGTTTATCCCACCTTCCACTATACTCTTCTCTTCCACTATACTCTCCTCTTCCACCTTATCACACCAACAGAGTAACGTTCAAACCACACGATAGTGCTCCTGCCCTACCTCCATCCCATCCCATCCCATCCCATCCCATCCCATCCCATCCCATCCCGTCCCATCCCATCCCATCCCATCCCCTCCCATCCCATCCCATCCCATCCCATCCCATCCCATCCCATCCCATCCCATCCCATCCCATCCCATCCCATCCCATCCCATCCAAACCCATCCCATCCCATCCCATCCCATCCCCTCCCATCCCATTCCATCCCATCCCATCCCATCCCATCCCATCCCATCCCATCCCATCCCATCCCCTCTCCACCGCAGGCCTTTGCAGCCATGCAGCAAGCAGGCCACGCACCAACAACAGCAGCCTACAACTGCCTACTCCTCGCGTACACCCGCTCCCACCGCATGCACGACGCACTCTCCCTCCTCTCCACCATACGAGCCTCGCACATGCTCCCTGACGCCACCACCTACCACCACCTCATTACCGGAGCACTCAATAACGAGGATACAGATGGTGCTGTGAGTCTGCTGCTGCAGGCAGCAGCAGCGGCAGCAGCGGGGCATCCGTGGTCGTGGAGGAGAGCAAGTGCAAGCCCCCGACTTGATGCTCCCAACCCCGTCGTGGATGCGCTACGGGAAGGCTGCGGGAGTGAGTGGGGAGTGGGGGCAGGGGGCAGTGTAGGTGTGCATAGTGGGGTGGGGAGTGGCGGGTGGGTGCGTGGAGCGCGGGTGGTGAGTGGGCGGAAAGGTGAGAGGGGCCAGCGGAGGTTACAGGTGAGGGTGGGGGTGTTTGTTGCGGTGGTGGAGAGGTTGGCAGAGGCAGGGGAGGTGGAGAGGGTGGAAAGAGTGGTGAGTGAGGTGGGCAGAGGCATGTATGCTATGGATGCAGGGATGTGCAATCTGGTGCTTAGGGCTGTGTTGCGCGGAGCCAGGCGGGGGAAAGAGGGGAAGGGAGTGGGAGAGGCAGGGCATGGAGGGCGCAGGGTGGAGGGAGGAGAGGATAAGGGGAATGAGGCGGTGGAAGTGGAAGACTCGAAGCGAGATGGAGATGATGGGGGTGATTTCTGTGGTAATAGTGGAGGTGGTGGCATGACGGAGCATGTTGGGGTGGAGGACGATGGGTATGAGCGGCGAGTGGAGGAGGGGGCACGACGAGTGTTAAGATTGTTGCGAGCGTCAAGAATACAGCCGAACGTGCAAACACGAATCGTTTCGGAAAGTGCTGGGTTAGTGAGACTGCTTGAAGAGGAGGGGCTTTCTGGCACGGTGCCACGATGATGCTTTCCGAGGCGAAATCTGTGAGAAAACATTGTTTTAGGCATTTTATGTGCATTTTGTGCCAGTGAAATGGAAGGCAAATATTGATTGTAGGGGATGGTGAGGGGAGTGGGGGTAGGTGGTATTGGTGGGAGGGATAAGCAAGGAAGACAGAAAGAGAAGAAGCTCAGCAGACTGAGGGAAGGGGGAGGCGTGGTCCGAGGGAGGGAAGGGGAAAAGGGGGGATTTGTATTGCAGAAGAAGTTGACAAGGAGAGCAGAAGAAAAGGCGGGATTTGTAGTGCAGAAGAAGTTGACAAGGAGAGCAGAAGAAAAGGCGGGATTTGTAGTGCAGAAGAAGTTGACAAGGAGAGCAGCAGCAGTGACAAATAGCAGAGGCAACCAGGAGGGGTGGTGGTGGGGTTGGGTGGGGGGGGGGGGGGGGGGGGGGGGGGGGGGGGGCACAAGCATGAAAGTGGACAGAGGCAGGAATTATGAGGGAGCAGACAAGGGCAATGGAAAGGGGAAAATAGATTCGTATTGTAATATCCTTTACAGTTCAAACACGCATGATACATCAGCACGTACACATGCAAACAAGGCTAGGATTCACGTGAGCGTTTCCTGGGGCCCTCAAAACTCTAGACCAGTCCGCACAAGCTCGAGCGCCACGATCGCCTTCTCGCGGGCTGGTTTGCTCATCCTGAGGCCGCAAATGACTCTGGGCAGGCCTTCGCACTCCTGACCACTAGCCCGTCACGAAGTGACGTGAATCCAATGCGCGCCCCGATTTCGTCCAGAATCCGTATCACTCCAAACCCGTCGTTTTGTGCTGCTGCATACTCAGACACAGCAGCCATCAACCTCTTTTGCCGTGTCAGTGCCGAATCTTCGGCCTTCACAAGGGCGTATTTCTTGGAAAACCCCCCTGTAGCCACCTCGCCCTGTAGTGTCACTTCCGCTTCCCCAGAAGTGTACAGTGCATGCCTCCAAGAAGGTGTGTTCCCCAGAAGGTGTGTCCCATATTCTCCATGCGTCGTGGACAGTGCATGCCTTGATCCACGGCTTCTTGCAAGCCTTGTCATCGTCGCTGAGGGGCGGCAGGGGGTTGAGGATGTCAAGATTCCCTTGGGTGGAGGCATCAGCCGATACAGCCTTTCTCTTCTTAACTTTCTCACGCAGCTCCCTCAAACCCGCTTCTCTTCTGCTCTCAACCATATTCCATTGCTCTGCCATAGCGCACTTGTGTTCATTCAATTCGCATTTCACTGCAACCACCCCCCTCTTCACTGCAACCACCCCCCTCTTCACTGCAGTCACCTCTCCCTTCACTGCAGTCACCTCTCCCTTCACTCCGATCACCTCTCCCTTCACTGCTGCCAACTCTCTCCCTCTTTAATCCACCACAGCAGCAGTTACTGTACTCCTCTCTCCCACAACACCTAGTGTGTGCCTCAACGCATTCACCTCCTTCTCCACAACAAGGTTTCCCCTCTCCAGCATCAACACTCGCTCTTTCTGCTGATTCAAATCCTCCCTAACTGCCGCGAGCTCTCTCAGCCAACTCGCCACCTATCTCAAGAAACCTGAAGCACCGCATATGGCAGAGCTCGACCGCGCACTCCACAACCTCGTCAGCACCTTGACAATCGGCCTTACCTATCACAAGACCGGGACCACGACGCCCAAGCTAATCGGCTACGTCGATGCTTATCACGCCGGCGTCTCTGATAACAGGCGCTCACGCACCGGCTACATCTACCGACTCGAGCCTATCGGACCTATCTCGTGGCAGTCGAGCAAACAGGAACTAATAATCACCCTCTCCTCAGCAGAAGAAGAATATATCGCACTCTGCTCGGCCACCAAGGAAGGATTGTACCTTCGCGAACTACTGGAAGAAGCGAAGCTGGCTCAGTTACCCAGCTTCTCCCTGTTCTGCGACAACCAGTCAGCAATTCGCATAGCCAACAAGAACGGCTTCGCGAACAAGTCGAAGCACATCGCCCTGTGATTTTTCTTCGTGAAAGACGAAATCGAGAAAGGGA